GCAACTGTCAGCAGCACGAACATCTACCACATTGTAGACTCCCTGGGCATGTATGCCATACACTAAATAAAATAAACTTTTACTGCAAAATGTCAGAATCTTCTGGCAATTTCTCCTGGTCTCCTACAATGCCAACAGAGACAATAATCACATTTTGGTATGTTTTGTCTGGAAAATAAATTGAGGAACCAAAGGTTTAAATACCAGTAGAGATTAGCTAGTGCAATGGGAATCTTTCTTTATTTCCTCCTCTGTGTCATGAAGTCGAGAGGCATATCCAGTGACCAAGATAGATTACTAAGCACTCTTAATCCTTGGACTTGGTGAACAGGTGTACCCAAACAGATGAATCTCCATTTTTTCTGGATTCAGCTTCATTTTATTGGGCCTCATCTGGTCCACTGCCACTTCAATGAAGAAGTGATGATCCAGGCTTCTAGACTGTAAGTGAGCAGTGGTAAGAACCCATCTCATTCCCTTAAAAGGATGTTTGCAAGAAACACATTATAAAAACTTTCTCTAGATTTGTTTAGATATAATTGAAATATAAGGACGGTCAACACTCAGCTTCCAGGAGAAAAAGTTAATGAGTCATACAAAATTGGCCCAACTCTCATGAAAATATTTGGGACTGAAAAATAAAAGCAGTATTATGCAGAAGCATCTACAATCCAAATAAACAGGCAATCTTATCTGTGTGTAAACACCATTTCTGTTAGCGTCAAGGCAGAAAAACCTAAAATGCTTGCTTAGCATATTACTCTTTGACAACAATGTTTATAACATTATCCATTAGATAACAACCAATAAAGCAATTATAGAAGTTTCTAGTTTATGATGGCGCTAGATGGAGTCATCACATATTGCACAGAGCTCAACTGCAAGATGGGGTTGGTTTATCTGTGAACATCATGTAACAACCCTTTTTGTGTTACTGTTAAAGGGCATTTTGCTATTTATGGGGCCTCCTTTTAATTTCAGCATATCAATTATCACTGAAACTGCTTGCAGCTTGTCTAGCCATGTGACTTGAAGAGAATGATGCAGAAATCAGAAGTATTAATTCAGTATCAACCTTTCTATGACAAGAAACGTTCCCAAAGGAACAGCGCAGAAGGCTTCAGTGCCTGACCCAGCTAGACTCTAGGCCAAAATACATAGAGACACACAGCTATCTCCTACCTCTGTGAGAAGAATCCTGTGAGAAAGGGGCAGGCAAGGCATGCCTCAGAGCCTGCTGCAGCTGGGCTGCTGTATCACCTAGTCCTAGGGCCTTCCAGCAATAGCTGCTCTACAGGAAGCTTCCTGATGACCAGGTATTGTTTGTTGTGTGTGTATTCTGATATAAAACTTCTTAAAAGGATTTTTATCTTGAAAGGCAGGATAACCGTACTTCAAGTAGAGAGTGAGCCAAGAAATTAGAAGAAGACTGAGACATGAAAGGGCAGCAATGAAGGAACTAGAGAAGTTCATTGAGTGTAAGGTTGTTCCACTGGAGGCCAAGGCCAAGATCTATCTATGAGTGTTAAATCTGGACAGTGAACAAAGCTGACAGAAGAAAATTGATGTGTTTATTTGAGATATGGTGCTGGAGGAGAGCTTGGTGAATACTCTGGACTGACAGGAGAATGAGCAAGTGGGTCCAATATCAAAACAAGCTAGAACTTTCCCCGGAAGCAACAATGACAAAACTGAGGCTGTCATATTCTGGACATATCATGAGAAGGCAAGGCTCATTGTAGAAGTCCATGATGCTATGGAAAGTCAAAGGCAGAAGAAAAGCAAGGCCAAATATGAGATGGGTCCATGCCATAAAGGAGGCCACAGCCTTGTGTTTACAAGAGCTGAGCAGGCCTGTCGAGGACAGGGCATCTTTGGAGGGCACGCATCCATAGGAGTGCCATGAATCAGAGATGACTTGATGGCACGTAGCAGCATATTAGATCTTCATATGATCTCTGTGTGTGTCTCTCTCTTCCTCTGTGTGTGTGTGTGGGGGGGGGGTTACATAGATAGAGATAATTGCACCCTCTATTGGGTGAGTTATTTATAAAATTGATTTATCTTCCTGTCGGTAAGAAATGAAAGAAATTCTTGGAGGAGAAAAAGAAATAATACCAGCAAAACCAAGTACTGTGCTTCACATACTGTTCCATTTCATTGCTTTTGGGAGCATTCATTAGGAAAGGTAGCTAAACAAATGATTTTCTATGCCGTCCAGCCCATGGTTTTTATTGTGTGCTGCATTAGCAATAGCTGTTGTCTCGGTAGACAACAACAGCAAAGATGCAGAGGACTTCTAATTACTTCCAGGAGGAGTGAGAATATAAACGGCATAGCAAAACATGTGATCAAATCATTTTTGTGCTGTGGAAAGGACATGTGACGCAGTAAAGACAATATTTTATTTGCAACATTTTTTTGCCTATTTCTGAGAAGTACCTTCCTTTTCAGCCCTTAGATTTTTGATCAGAGCACCATAACAATGGGCAAGTACACATTCCCAGGTAGAAATCTTCCTGCCTTTCTAACCTGAACTACATTTGAATTCATAAGTTTCTGTTACTGCATCATTAGTCCTGTTTCAAATCATTAATCTCTTCAACTGTACCTTAATAGATATGATATATTAAAATCTTTTTAGTATGATATAAGCCTTCTCTGCTGTTACAATTTTTTGTGTCTTCCACTTTTTCAGAATTACATTTAGTTTAAATAATGACAGCTACAACATTTTGCAGTCCTCAAATTATTATCTTACTAAGAGCCAAACCACAAGGTACACTAATCACATGTATTGCAGGACTATCTTTGTATTTACTATGGCACAGGTGCATGCAATTTTGATTCTGATCAGGACACCACACTCCAGAAAAGGAGAATTAAATTTTCTCCCATTTTTCCTCCCAGATTCCCCTCCACCATAGCAGTAGGGTGTCAAAGAAAGAAAAAGAAACTGATGCCAATAATTGTGATATGACAATAATTGCTCCCTTCTGTAGAACCAGACTTCACCAACAGCATGGGTATTATGATCTGGTTGCCTGCTGTTTTAAAAAGTTTATTAATGGCTGCAGATGTGAGGTTTAACTCTCCCTCCCACGTCCTTGCTTCTGATTCTCTTTTTTCAGTGAAAATAACCCCTGAACCTCCTTTTTGTCACATGGAGTGAAGCACACACACATGGGACCACCACATCCATTCAAGAGAATCCTTCACAGGTGATGCCTGAATAGGCTTCTATTAGGAAGCCCTTAGGGCACTGCTGCTTAACACCAGTACTTTGAACTGAGTCCAGAAATGCAGTAAACACCAATCTGACTATTCAAAAATCTACTGTTGCTATGTCATATTAGCCAGTTAAGACCTTTGGCAAGTGCCACTCAGCAACGCTGCTGATGTTTTGTTTTTGGTTATGCTCTTTGGCTTGGTCAGAGAAGGAGAAATCCTTCAGAGAAAGTGAATAATAAATAACAAGATGGACTTGTCATGTCTTTAAAGGACATGAAAATGCCAATGTCTGTTAATTTTGAAATATCTAAGAATATAGTGACCTGGTAAAACTTCCTTGAATGAAAAAGAATGACTGAGCAGAAAAATAAGGAGATTAATGCTACCACCCTAGGGATTTTCCTCCCCAACGGAAGTTCATAAATATTGCATTTTTCTCCAATATATAGCTTAGCTTGAGACATTTGTAAGGTAAAAACTGACCTTAGAAACACCATATTAAAATATCATGGAAAAATGCAATTATAATAAAAGGTCATGAGATAAAATATCCTTTGCAATTGCAGTATACAATCACAAAAATCCAGATGGTAGTCCTGCACAGGTAATAATATCTCAGTCATTTCCTGCAGTACTGAGAAAATTGCCCACTGTTATTATTTTCTCTTTCAAACAGATACTTTTGAAAGCATCTCAGGTACATATTTAAATCTGGGGAAGAGGTTTGACCTTTTATTTAATAACACATCTATCCTCAAACTGCAGCATATATTGTAGCAAATAATAAACTCACATATCTCATGACAATGTTGCTTCATTGAAACAAATATTACCCACATAACAAATGGTGCATTACTGCCAAGAGACAAATTTGGTTTGGTTTGGTTTGGTTTGGTTTTGAGGGTAATGTAACAGTCAAAATTTGCAAAAATGGTTCTTTTTGCATTCCGAACAAATATGCTGAGGCTATTCTGTTACAAAAAGAAATGGTCCAACACTGTCAGCTCAAACACACCAACAACATGTGTGGACGGGACTGTGTGCAGAGTCCTGAACTTGTCATGCAGCACCAGCATTGCACTGTAAGCCATGTCAATGCCTCAGAGCAGCACGAGGACGTCTGCACGATTGCTCCAGCACAGCAACACCCAGCAGCACCAGCTAGTGCAGTTCAGGAATGGTCTGCGAGGGGCATGGTGACAATAATATAGGGGCAAAGGTCTGAGAAGGTGCTTCCACAGGACACTTCCATTACAGGCCCCCAATTGCGCTGTATCCACTTTCAACAATTACTTTTGGGCAGATACCTGAACAGGTTTACAGAGGAACCTGAGTTTGGTGGATTAATGGTTTGACTTAATTTAAGGCAGCTCTATAGAAGCTAAAGTCCTAGGATCTCTCTGAAGGGACCAGATAGTGTGTGATGAGAATGACTTCTGCATTGGGTAACATGGACAAACAGTTTGACCTGGTTTAACATAGGTTCCTAACATTGCTATGAATGAGGAAGGAAAACGAGACCTGACAAAAGAATGAAGTGCTCAGTGAAGCAGCACAGAGCTAATGGGGAGACAGGTAGAATTTGAAAGTTTGGTTTTATAGCCTCATTTACAGACAGTGAAGAACAAATTACAATTTTATGTATAGTTACTCCCTTATTTAGCAGATTATTATATATTATCCCTCCCCACCCACCTCTCTCCTCTTTTTCCCTCTCCTTTCAATCACTATATTTTACTTCTGGTGTCATTATGTTTTTTTTTCCCCAGACATCAACATGGCAGGAGAGCCTAAACCATACAGACCTAAGCCAGGAAACAAGCGGCCACTTTCAGCTCTCTACAGGTACGCTGATCTACTCTTTACAATAATTGGGAACAGCTTCTAGGGATTTGCAAAGATTGCCATTTATTTGCATAGCTAACTAGCAGGAAGCCTCTTGGCACAGGAAGCTTGCTGGGGAATTAAAATGGCAATTTATTCACTAAGAAGCTTCAGGTGGACCTCAGTCCTATAACTCCATCTTGATATAGTGCGGGTTTTCCCCACCAGAGAGTGGGACAAATTATCAGCTACAGCCAAGAAAAGAAATGAGTTTCATGAAACTGCAAACAAGTATTCCTCCACATTGTCCTAGCATATGTAGTGTGCATTGGAACTCCTTTTGTTAGTCTCATGTATGCACTTGTCCTTAGGGTGGCTATTCTAAATTTAACCCTTGAAAATAAGCCTTCCTGAGACCCACTGGGTATTGGACAGGGTAAAAAATACCCAAATAAATAAATATATTTTCTTTTTTTAGATATTTGTATTATTGGGAGATAAACAACTTGGAACCAGGATATTCTACCTGTTCTGATGTGAACTTGCCTAGTAAATTCCTCATAAGTCCAACTTTGAGATAATTGCCGAATTTGTTTGAGTAGGTAGTTATCAACTGACTTGGTGACACAGTTATCTGGATATATTTCAGTTTTATTTCCAGTGTGGGTTGTCACTGATGGTCATCCTGATGAATAAAAGGGAAAGGAATGGGGGGAAAGTGTTTTAATCCTAGGGACTTGATCTAGTCAAGGCACGTGCTTCAGATTCAAGCATACTCAGGAAGAAATGAAACTACTTGTGTCAAAGATGGCATACAGTTTATTGAACACACATGTAGTGATGAAATATTGATGCAGATTATCAATGAACAAGCCCCCCCCATCACCCCCCCCCAAAAGAACAGCTTAAATCCATTTAATTACAGGGCTTCCTGAGGCAACAGACATTGCTTTCAAGATGTTACTTAATTGACACCTTGGCCCTCCTAGTTCCAAGCAAAAAAAACCTCAAAGAACAAAACACCTTGCTATGCATTTTATACACTTCCTCTCTTCCTCTTGTCCAGAGTGTAAATATGATAGCCCTACTTCCAGGGAGCCAAGGGAGGAAGGGTAAGAATTGACTCAGCTAGCTTCAGCAAAAGGAGAGCAGGCATCCTTATTTCAAGAATGAGGTAAAGAATTCACAGTGCCTAGTAGTTTGTGATCTCCTACCCTCATTAAGGCCCCACAGGTTTATCAGAGCAATTCAGCCTAATGAGTATCTACATTTAATGCCTGTGCTACACACTGGGAACAACTTATTTATTTATTGCACTTCTGTGCCACCCTGTAGTCCGAAAGCTCTGTGGGCAGTTTACAAATTTCACACATAACTTTCCATCACAGTTTCTGAATACATAGTACAAACTCTAATTCTTCCGGACCTCTTAGCAGAAGTAAACTTTCCAGTAAATTAGTTCAAGCTCCTTGGATGATCTAGGCAACACTTCACTTCTCGGCCATTCTCTTACCATTGTGTCTGGTGCCCAGCTGGGTAGCTCTTCCCGAAAAGTTGCCCATACAATACAGAGACTGTGCTGGATTTTAACCAGTTCACAAGTGTATTGGTTACATCTTGGAATATGACATGGCATATGAAAAGTTGTCTTAATTGGGCAGTTCATGTATTGGGTGGCTCTTTAATAAAATGAGGGTTCACTGGAACAAGAGTATATCCTTCCATGGTGTGTACCATTCCCTTCTCCCCAGGAGTGGAGTTGGCTTTGAGTTGGGCTGCAGCCCTTTGGTCCCACCCTCCAGGAAGCACCTCTGTCCTTGTAAGGGAGGGTTCATGTTCTCCTTTCCCCTTTGATTTATATCTGGACCATCTGCCTAAAAGTTGTGCCGATCCTGCCCAGCCATTAACTTTCTATTACTTTCCATTGCTGTGGGAAAGATAAAATTATGTGAAGCAAGCAAGCCAACCAGCCAGCCTCATTAGGTAAAATTTCTTCCTAGCCACTTCCACCAGCAGCTGACTTATGTCCACAGCACTGGACCTATATTGAAAGGGGTCAAGGCTGAGCCAAGAGTTTGATTCCCTTTCAGTAGCTGCAGTGCAGACCAGAATTGAACCCCCCACCCCCAGTCTGCTGCCAGACCCCTCCCCTCCAGCCTATTGCTATTGAATTTACCTATTGAGCCAAGGTAAATTCACTGGCAGGAAACTGCATAAAGCTTGGACCACCACATCCCCTTTCCCACCACAGCCATCCATCCCTCAGTGCCAACCAAGGAGAGCTCAGGACTCAAGCCTGTGAGTACCATTAATGTTAGAAAAGTGTGCACAGTTACACAATATATTCTTGACTTAATCCAAGTGATCATTCTCCCCAAATGAGTTTATTATAGGAAATTGCAAGATAAACATGAATCGCCTTTGGTCAGCTCTATGCATAATCTGCTGAGTTGTCTGTAAATATTAGCAGAGATACAAGGGATAAAAACATGAAGTGTCTGTCTTAAGAGATGTGTGGGAGGCAGCTTTCTACTGTTCCTGATTACAAACAGGCATTTAATACTGCTGGTTATCTGAGGTAGAACCATCAACACTATTTTGCTAAGCCAACTCTGATGGGCTTATTACAGTTAGTTGATGCATAATGACTTTGGTATTCTTTCCTTGATGTATGATAGAAAAAGGTCAGCTGGCATCAGCCTTTCCAAATAATTATTGATACTTGAAAAGCAGTGCTTAAAGATGACAGCTAGATATCTATTTCCACATATTGTCAGTGCTGATTTCAGTGCTTAGTGCTTTATCTGTATTGATCTTATCCATTGAAAGGCATCAAATAGGCAATTCTGGGTTTTTTTCTAATATAAAACCTTCCAAATCTTATCATCTGCAAGTGCATGTGTCAAGAGCAAAAAAAAAAAAAAAAAATTAAAGCAAATAGACTATTGATTAGCACCATTTTTTCCTTTTAGAATATTCAAAAATATGCCTGAAAAATGAGAGGGTGAGAATGGAATTGCAAGTACTGAAAATAGTTCATCTCTATTCCCCCACTCCAGGCCTAGGTGCAGCTTCTCTGCTGCTAATCACCTTCTCCTGATGCTCCCTTGCTCTTTTGGTCCCACAAGGACAAATCTGAAAGTGTTCAATTGGAAGGACCAAAGACAGGAGCAAAGTCCATGTCAAGCCAAAGTCATGATTCCATAGCGGTGAACAAAAGGCAGACAGGACGGAGATGGGTCAAGCAATCAGAAGGGCTGGATGGTCAGGCCCAAAAGGAGAGGGTACTGCAAGATGAGTCTTCAAACCCTGTACTGTTGTAACCCTTGGTGTTACAGATGAGACCAGAGACCGGATGGTAAAAATAAAGAGGAATTTATTTACCTGCAGGGGCCAACATTCATGGTTAGAATGCGGCCCTGAACAGAGTTGGAATGAGGTTTTTATAGCTTCCCAGTGAACTTTCGGTAAATGGGAAACAATACAATCAGTTTTTGACAAAAATCAGAACAATGGCGACAACGGGGAGTTACAGAATCACATAAGCAGTTGAGCAAGCGATATACAGAAGCAGATTTGGTTAGCAGTAAGTTTTATCTTTTAATTTACACCTTCTAAGCAATCTTTGTCCATTACATTGTAGGTAAGCTCTTTCCACTTTGAGGGGAATTCTCTGAGGCAGTTACTAGACATTTGAATGGGCTAGAGCTTAGGAGAGCTAAGCCTATCATGCATACCCTGAGACAGTTTGATTATTCTAGTGTTTGGCTGTGTCATGCCTATCTGGAGCCTAGAGGAGTCATGCCTATCCTGAATGCCCTGAGAAAGCTGATAGATATTTCTATTATGTCAGGATCCTGGGGAGTCAGGCATAACATGTACAGCTATTCCAGCACTAATTAGAATGTAGAAGAAGCAGCTATATTAGGCTAGAGCTAATAGAGGCCTATCTAACTTTTCAAATTGCTTGATCCACCTGGATGGATGAGCTACTGCCCTCTTTGTCTATTAACTGGTCAATCACCTGCTGCTGCAGCCTGACCGATTTCCTGAGAGTTATCAAGGGAGAGCAGCTCAGGAGTAATGCTACTGGTCCCTAATTTGAGTATCGTGACTAGCTGAGATCAACTGGCAGTTAGGATTTCAATACACAAAGGGGCACATGGCATGTATTTCTATCCTGAAGTTTCTCATCAGTATGTTTTTATATTTTGCAGTTTTCCTGAATAAAAGAATTGTAATATGTTAAGGGCTAATTGCTTATTAAACTTGTTCATTAATCACCAGGCCTTATTCACATGGCCTTTGCATGCTGTAGTGCTCAGTCTAGACTAGCCTTCCCCAATGGGTGCCCTCCAGATACATCGGATAACAGCTCACACCATGCCCATTCAGCAGGGCTAATGTCGAGACTGAAATTCACAATCTGGTCTTTATACATGGAGTCCCATACTTTCATATAATTGTTTTAAAATTATATTGTGAGTCTCCTCATGAAATAAAATTAGAAACAGTTGGTTTCAACTATATATATATTGCAGGAGTGATTTTTCTCCAGCATGCAAAAAATGGAGAGCTTTATTCTTCATGAGGAATCACCCTGAAAAATTTTGGTTGCTGAATTGCATTGTGATAACAAATGATTAAATACCACCATTAGGCATAATCTTTTCTATATTGTGTTGCAGTGTTAACACCTTTATTTAGTTTCATAGCAATGAGTTACTAATTTAAAGAGCAATTTAAAAGAAAGGCCGATGGATAATTGCTTTCCTCCATTGCGTGAAATGCTTTGAAGTAATTTAGTGAATCGCTGCAAATCACCTCAAACCATTTAGTCAAATATACTAAGAGAAGGTCAAATTCAGGGCAGCTGTAGTCAGAGCAAATTGGATCTCACTTCTTGAGAATGGATTTCAAACAGATTTTTAATTGCTGTGTTTCATCCACAGGCTATCTCACATAACAATGTTATTTCCTTAAAGGATGAATTACCCAACTGATTTTTTATTAGAATATTGAAGTCCTACCTATTGCCTTGATTACAAAAATTTTGGTCAGTTTGTATCAGTTAGATGGTTATATAAACAAAACTATTTATCTATTACATTTGCATCTTGCTTCCCCCCCCCCCCCAAGAAGCTCAGGGCAGAAAATATGGTTCTCTCCTCCCTCAGTTTATTTTCACAATTACCTTTGAGGGAGATTAGACTAGTTCAGGTTCACCCACTCAGCTTTATGGCTGGATGGAAACTTAGACCTGGATCGCTCGAGTCCTACTCCTGTATTCTAACTCCTACAGCACAATTTGAAAATAAGCCTTATGTTATGCCTGACTCCCCAGGATCCTGACATAATAGAAATATCTATCAGCTTTCTCAGAGCATTCAGGATGGGCATGACTCCTCTAGGCTCCAGATAGGCATGACATGGCCAAACACTAGAATAATCGAACTGTCTCAGGGTATGCATGATAGGCTTAGCTCTCCTAAGCTCTAGCCCATTCAAATGTCTAGTAACTGCCTCAGAGAATTCCCCTCGGAAAGTGGAAAGAGCTTACCCACAACTTAAGGGACAAAGATTGCTTAGAAGCTGTAAATTAAAAGATAAAACTTACTGCTAATCAAATCTGCTTCTGTATATCGCTTGCTTAACTGCTGCTATGTGATTTTGTAACTTCCCGTTGTCGCCATTGTTCTGATTTTTGTCAAAAACTGATTGTATTGTTTCCCATTTACCGAAAGCTCACTGTGAAGCTATAAAAACCTCATTCCAACTCTGTTCAGGGCCGCATTCTCTAGAATGTTGGTCCCTGCAGGAAATCCTGCAGGTTAATAAACTCCTCTTTAAATTTACCAACTGGTCTCTGGTCTCATCTGCAAAACCACGAGTTGCAACACCTTACTGCAGCCCACCACTGTTGGTCCTAAGGTTTTGCAATTACTGGGGAGTGTAACTCTATCCCTGGGTTATTGTCTATGAATATGACCCAGGTATTGTGGGATTCTAGGGAAGGGAAAACCCAGATTTGGAGCGCTTGAGTAAACCGTGCAAAAAGTGCTCAGTTTGCTCTTCATGGACAAATCCACTGATGGAGCATCCTTAGATCGATTAGTTCTACCGGCCATAGCAGGAGTGATCAAGTAGCTTGTTCCCACTTTGTTCACAGCAGCCCATAATTTAAACAAACAAGTCACTATAGATTTACCAGGTGCTCTGTCCTTGGTGAAGACAATGGTACTATTGGAACAATCAGCCTTCTTACCCTGGTAGATGCCATCTGCTGAAGCTGGCACCATTATTCTTGTATAGAATATTAGTGAGTGTAGAACATTCAGTGTAAATCCTATACACTATATTAGCTATGCATTTCTAATATATCAAGTATTTCAATATGTTATTTATTTAACAGACTTGAATCAAAGGAGCCTTTCCTGTCTGTTGGGTGAGTAAGAATCCTTTTCTGAGCATTGTTTTAAATAACTGGTTATTTTATTTGTTCCTTAAAAGCTTTTGCCAAGCTGCAATTTTTAATATCACCCATGCTCGCTTCTGGAGCTGAAATAATTCTGAAATATTAGACAAAGTCCACCAGGTATATATCAGAACACTTAGGCTGAAGGTCTCAGAACTTACTCAGCTATATATAGCTGGTACAGTTCGGTTTCCAATCATTACTTTGCTCAATCTGTAGTTGTAATCTTAATGTGGACTAATATTTTAGTTTATATATCTGTACTCACAACTACAGTCTACATAACAGTAGAGCTTCCCTGATGTTTTCTCTGACTTATAGGAAATGAAAAGGAACCCCTCTCTGGTTTCATTAACTTTTATTAGCCATGAACACATTAAGATGCAGCTCTTAGCTAACTCTTTTTCCTTTTGTGACCTTAACATGTTAGTGTGGATACTCTTCATAATAGAAGTCAACAGAGCATGGGATCCCTTTTGTTTAGTTGTATGATCTCCTTCTACTGTTCTTTCCTGTATATGTGCTGTTAACCAAAGCTAGTTTTAGTTATGCTTTGATATGAACAGTGTGTATAATAAGTTTTTAGACAGTGCTACTGTTTTCCACATTTTCTTATGGGTGCAAGACAAACAATGCAAGCATGTTGTCTTCAGTGTCTGCCACGTTCTTCCCTTTCCTCAGCAATGCCAATGACAGGTAATCAAAGCATCCCAAATTGCTATGACTGAGCTCTTACATGAGAATGCTACACCATTCATTTAAATGGAGCAACCAAATGTCCCATTTGTTTAAACCAAGAAAAGGGGGTATCTTTACATGCAACAGTTGCATCCTAGCAAAGGGATGCTGTGGTGTACACAAGGGCCTGTTGACCTCTGAGCACCGTGGTTTTCAGACAGATATTTGATGACACATGTTGCTATGTTACTCTATGGAGAAGAAATTATATGCACACACCATCCAGCTCTGACTTGTGGTTTGTCATCACCAAGATCCCTGCCATTATGTTTTCCACTTACTTACATGGGACATACATTACTTTGACAGTATTCTAAGTTTCTTCATCCTTTCAGAACATTACTGTTGCTTTATTTTGCTTGTTCGGTTTAATAGGGAATTAAGTAAAGAAGTGTGGTCTCCTTTTCATGAAGGAACAAAAACCCTGAAACACGGCCTACGTATTAAACAAGGGTCATTGCACTAAATGGTTTCATGTCATGTAATGGAAGATTTTTGCATGTAATGAGCAATTCTGCCTAAAGGCTGGAAAATACATAAAATATAAGGCTATATTTCATGCACAGTGAAGAACAAACTAGTCTAAAATACACAAATAACCCCTACACGGGATTCAAAACACCATTTGGAGATAGGAGAAAGGACAGCTTTGGAATTGAGGGACCTAGTGCTGCAGAGATAACTGTTCATAAGCATTAGGCAGCATTATAAACATAGCGTGACTGTTCTGTCAAATTAGAAGGCTGTGAGCAGGATTTCAAGCTGAAAACCAAAATTCTAGTTGAGTTGATTTCCAGGACTGGCCCAGGATTCCATTTCACTCCCAATAAGGGCAACAATGCCCTTCTGTACTGCCTGCTATGACTTCACCATCCAAATTGTGGTTAACCAAATTTTGAACATAGCTTGTCAGGCATAGTGTGCCTGCCTTGCAGCACTTTCCTATAGGGTGAACAGCCACAAGTAACTGTTCATAGATTGCCATATTGGCATTTGCACACGTGGAAGCTCTCCGCAGTTCACCTTTCTCCTTCCTGCACATGGTTGGCACACAGAAAGTCTCTTAATTATGAAAGCTTCCAACTTTTAGGAAGAATAGAAGACAGTGCAGCAGGTTTCCTACAAAGCCTGACCATTTGCAGTCTTAGGGTCAAAAAAGGCAATACAGTGTGAATCTGGCAATGACTTCTATTTTTTTTTCCTGTAAAGTAGATGCAGAGATCACCATCAGATTGAGACTATAGCTCTGGGGGGGTTTTACGATCCAGGTGGGGGACCCTGTAGTGTTCTAGTGTAAAAATATATGCATGACAGAGACATAGCTGTGAGACGTGGCCTTAAAGTAATCTGTGCCCTTAACCACAACTGGCAAAAAATCACACTTAAAACATTCAGTAGCTCTCCCCTGTGGGGTTAGCCTCTGAGCAACAAATGCTCCAAAGATATCTCAGTAGATTTTAAGTGGAAAGGCTGAGCTAAGATCACTAAAAATAATCATCTTGTTTAGCTTTGTGAAAACTCCAGGTTGTCAGATTAGTTTGAGTACAGAAAGTCTGTAATTAACAGTGGAGACAGAGTGGGAGTTTTTACACACAAGCGCGCGCACACAAGCGCTGATTCTAATCCAGGCATCAAAATATCTGTGTTTTGGAATGAAGAAAACAGAAGACAAATAGATAAAAATACACTAGCAGATGTAGTGGAAAAAACAAAGTTGGATAAAATACCATTTAAAAACTTTTCCTCATCTCCAGTTTCACTCTTTCCACTTCTTAGTTCAAGGTTGTCAGCTTGATGTCTTACACAAATGTAGCTTTGCATGAGCCTGAAGAGCATTCCAGAAAAGGTTGCCATCCGCATGTATCAACTAGAGTTGGATTTTACTGATAGCATTCCGCTGCTGCTTCAGTCAGTGGATTTGGCGGGAGGAGAATTCCTTCTTCCATTCACCCCACTTTCACAACTTCAAAATCTAATACATAAATACATTTTCTACAAATATATTAAATAAAATCTGCTCCAGAGGTCTGGGATACCCTCCAGAGCAGATTTTCAGGCAAAGAGGGAAAGAAAGTGCTGTAGTGCTAGCATGATACTTTATTTAGTCCATAGTCTTGATTCTGTAAACTACTGAAGTGTTGTTTTTGATTTCTTCTAGAAATATAAGCCTCCATATTCATGTCAAAATTAGTGCCAGCGATCTTTCTTCTTAAAAATCAATCTGTGTTTCATTTATTGTCACATAACTATCCAACCAGTGATATTCATATGCACACACATCTCCTCTTATTATCAGCATTAACAACAGGAATAATCGCAGCATGGGAGGGGATTGGTACCAGTTGCAGTGTGAAAGGTCATGCCCAGTGCTGGAGCATGCAACACTTGGCTTATCTACATGAGGCAGTTATGGTGCATGGATGATTTTCAGATGATGCTGTGATATTCCAGGATCACTTCTAGGTCTAACCAGTACTTTTAGTAAGGGGGTTTTTTTAGAGCAGAAAAGATGTGGCATTTAATTGTCAAAGCAAAAGAACATGACTTGCTCTTTTGTATTTGTCCTATTCCGATATACCACCGTGCCACAGTTGAAACACAAGAAAGGAAACACTCCTTGTGTGGTGCTTGGATCTCAGTTCTGTGATGAAACTAAAGCAGATACAGCTGATCAACAAATTCATGTAGAAAAGCTCACTGTTACCAACACCTTATAACCTTGCGTGGCAACCCTAGATAAGCAGGCTGAGAGAGAAACAAACTAGAAGGTTGAACCATTTTCCTATTGCTGCATGTAGTTGCATCACTAAAGGAAGCTGTTGCTAGAGAAAGATTCTAAAGATAAAAAACAGAGAGTTCAGAAGGGATTCTCATAAATCTCACTGAAATGAATTGGATTTGTTCCAGAACTAGTCTTTTTTTTATAAAGCCCAAAGAAACAAATGCTCAATTGCAGTCTGTTTAGTATTCAGCTATGTTTACACAGCCAAGCAGCAGGTAAAATAAATGAGAATCTATCATTAGTAATGTGACTCCCATTATGGCCCCTTAATAGCATAGTAAGAAGGAACAGGTTGTATTAATTAATTTGCAAAAATGTAATGGAAGCATTTTCCCCACACAACTAAAAACAGCCTGAAAAACCTAAGCCTTATCAATCATATGGAAAGCAAAAGCTACTTCATTACCACCATTACAATATTCCCCTTTTTAACACATTTTTCAGTGAAGTCAAGATACTTCCAAACAGTTTTCTGTAAAAATAAGGGATCACTGTATTAGACATGGAATGCCACTAATAACATAATTAAAGGCACAAGGTGTGAAATATTCAGTAGACTTTCTTAATTTAATTGTGCTTTCTTAAATGTGTAAATTCTATGTACAAACTATGTGAGAGAGAAGCATTGCAATAATGAGTACACCATTAAGAAGTTGCATAGAGCAGAAAGCAATAGTCAAAATAAATATTGGGAATCCATTGTTCAGATATCAAACATATCACACTGGAACCACACTAAATATGATCCTGAAGAAGCAAAGTCTTTTTTAGATGTTATGAGTCTTTATAACAGATGTGTATGAAGTGACGAGTGGCAGTTTTCTCTTCACTTATTCTAACACATCGCCTTAGGGAGGAATCTTTCCTTACAACCTTTCTTTCTTTCAAGTGCATTCATAAAAGTGCACATCATATGAAAAAGATTTCTCTCTTTCGGGGAGTATGACTGGTCTCAAAACAGCAGCTCCAATTCTATCTTTGCTTTCCCACTTGATAAAGTCTACTACAGGGACAAGGAACTCATGGACCACCAACTGTTTTGGCCTACAAATACCAAAGTCAGTTTAGTCAATGGAAAAAAGTTGATAGGAGTACAAACCCTAAACATCTGGAGGTTGCCCAGTGCTGGCCCAGTGTAACATATGATCATGCTACCAAAATGGACATTCATTTATTTAGTTTTATATTGAACATGTTCCAAGCCAGAGTAAAAGACACAGAAGCCTGGCTAAGGCCTATGTGAAGAGAGAACAAAAATGGAACCCAGTTACTATTTCACATGTTGCATACAATACTAACAAGAGTGTGATGTCATGTCACAATGCTGTTACTTTTTCTCTCACAAGAAGCAACCAAGAAGTGGAGCAAGGAGAAAACTTGCAGTGTGGTGACATTAACTGCTGTAGTAATACAAGTTATCAAGGCAGGGAAGAGGGGCAGACACAAGGGA